CACCACCCCACCCACCACACACACACACACACACACACACACACACACAAAATCTCTACATTAGGTCAATAATTATAATTGTAATTATAATTGTAATAATTATAATTGTAAACAAGATATAAAATCAAGGCAAGTACCTGTGATTCTTGATTAGGAGCTTTAAACACTTTAAGGCCACCTGCATTTGTCGTGCTAACAATACCACTTAATGCTTTATTAGGTGTACTTTGCACTACTTTTATCACTTGTGGATGTCCTGCAATAAATTCAATTCATCTGTAATTGCATACATGTATTTCAGTTTTTATATATGTATATAGGCAGAATATTTAAAAATTTTTTCTTTAGACAAGAGGAAAGCCCTACTTAAAATTATTGATACTTTATCTATTAATTTTAATCTGTAATAAGAAACATGCATTATATATATATGTATATATATATTTGCATATCATAATATACTGAAAAAGTAAAAATAAAATAAAACAAAATATATGTTACATATTTCCAATTGGAACAACATTTTATGATTATATTATAGATAAGAGAATATAGGATAAAGTAGATAAATGAATAAAAGAGAAAATGTATCACCAAGACTATCATGAAACTGCTCATGATTGATGAATTATCTATACTATGCAGTTTTATATCAAGAATATAAACAAATGACATTAATATATTTATTTTACAAGTTCTCTGCTTTGACATACCTAAAAAAAGAATCATTTAATTTCGAAATATCTGTATCATCTTATAAATTATATAGATTACACAAAATCTTTCATGTTTATATCATAGTATTTAAAGATTGTAAATAATTAAATTTACAAATTGTCAATGAGCATAAATGTTAGGCACTTGAAGACAAAACGAATGAGAATACGCTTATCCAAATCCAAGTCGACAATACTCAATAGTCGAATATTGAAAGTGCATGCCATTTTAGCTTTATACATATTTGTATAGATAAATATCATTAATATATTGCAAGAGATAGAATGTTGAGCTTCTACTTATTCTAAACAAAGAAATTAATCTTGGTTACATTAGAGAATCACGATGAAACTACTTGCATTGGTACTTTTAAAATTGCAACTGAAGGTAGCAGAAAATATTTGTATGAATTTTTAAAATGGCAACAAGTTATTTGCCAAAGTTGACCAAGTTACGGTCGATATGATTCGTTATCAAAGAGAATAAAAGACACGAGCAATAGAGGCGTGAAAGAAACATATTTACGCATAATCGAGTAAATAAATCGCTGGCTGTTTCATTAGCGGCAAGAAGCTGCTCTTGCCAGTCGAGCCGGGAATATACACACACGCACAATCTCTCGATAAAATCTCTCAAGGAGACACTCGATAGGAGACGAAGCAATAAGAAAATCGCAACGTATAAAAAGCGGATAAAAAAAGGCAAGTTAATTGAAATTTAGCTAGGAAGCGGGAAAAAGTTGCGGGATCGTGTCGCTTATGACAAACTTGAACAAGTTGGGAAAAGCGCGAGAGAGGAAACTCGCGTAAACTCACAACCGGTCGCAATTTTGGTAATTTGGTGAATTTCGGTGATCGCGGAGCTTGACAGGAAGGCGAAGGGTGTTTGCAGGCGGGCGTATGCCGCGCGGCGACCGAATTTTCCTCGACGTTTGCGGGGGAACGGAGGCGCACGCGAAGGCAAGGGAAATACGAAACGAGGGTCACGCGTGTGCCGACTGTGTGTTGGCGCGCGCCGCACGGATCCACTTACCATTAGCGTCGTGTATTAGGAAATTCATGGTTTTATTTTGCTGTGTCATCTCCGGCGTTATTGGGCCGTCAATCGGCTGAGGACGATACCGCGGATGAACCGTGCGAAAAAGAGAAATAAAAAGATCATAAGGGCTACACTTTGCTCAGACCATCGGCTTGCCGTATCACCAAAATGGCGACTTCGCATGTAAAAGCACTCGCGAGGTTGATTTGCGAGGTATCGCGTGCCGTTAAACCGAAACGATCCGTCAGCTATGTCAATTTGGCGTCTCCTCTATCGCGATCGGCCGTGCATAATTCGCACGAGCTCGGGATATTCGCGCTCTACCCGCAGCCAGTCGATCCCACAGCTTCCGCGTGCACACGGACTGGAAATGAGCTTGGCGGCACGACAAAGCTAAACAGCTGATTGGCCGGCCGCCGGTCACATGGTCGTCCTCGTTCCACGTTACGCGGCGCCCCTTTCGTGACGCGCGCGATGCGACGCGCGCCATGCTTTGCAATGCTGCTTTCGCACAGCGCCACTTGCGATCGCGCCAATCGCGCCTAACAAGATAGATGTCCCTATAAGATAGGGATATTAATCGCGACAACCGCTGATCACGAATTCATCGATATCGTCTCTCTATTCATGCTCGACGCTCGATACTCGACCAGTCCGGCACACGATGCTTTTTTTCTGCTGGTTTGCTAGCTGGATCGCGTGCTTGTGAACTCTTATCTTCGATTGGTATTATTTTTTTAGATTCCAAAAGAATATACCAATCAGAAACAAAAGCTCAACGAGCACACAAATCCTGCTAGCAAATCAGCAAGAAAAAAAAGTATCGTGTGCCGCTAGCTTAAAATCCATTCATATTATATATATATTATATATACATATATATATATATATATATATACACATATACATATACGTATACGCTTGTCATATTCAATGAGAGACAGAAAATCGGATGACGCTCGATTGGCCAATTTTAAATAAACTTATTTGATTGGTTGATCCAGTGGAAAATCTCCAAGCATCGATCGCTGTAAGTGGCTATGTCCAATTGCAACGTCGTCAAACGGGGGACGCTCCCACAAAAAAAATTCTAGATCCTGAGAATCGATTGCATAATCGATTACAGTCGATTTTTGAAACGAGATGAAAATTAGAAAAGTTAGGAAATTTATTAGAATATTTGTAATTTTATGTTGAAATTCCAACAGTAAATTTCTTCACTTTTCTAACTTTCACCTTGCTTAGAGTCAATTTTACAATCTTCAGTTTATTTAAACAGCCGGTTAAGTATCAACAATGATTGATCAATTCTGGTATATTTCGCTTAATAACAAGTTTTATTAATCAATTCCAATGGAATAACCGGTCGTTTAAGTTAATCGAAGATTGTGAATTGACCCTCAAATACACAATCGATCCCCTGCTTCGTTTTCGCGACGCCAATTAAAACGAAAACGTAACATAATCTCATTTCATCCTCGCTGATGAAACTGCCAAACCGTCATTTCGGAATGCTTAAGATTCGACGTCTTTGATGAGAAGGAAAGGATTGGGGGAAGGGGGGATGGAAGAGGGACAAAAATATATGAGGTATATAAATATTATAATGTACAAAAATCTGAAATCGCGATGCCACTGATTCCACAAAATGGCTAAAAGAGAAAATTAGTGAGTAAAATTGATTCGAGACGTTCCAACATGTATACTTTTAATGTTGATTCGATTCCTACAACACTACAGATTTTTGCAAAACATTTAATTCGATATGTAAATATAACAATTATATCTTTTAACTGTAATGCTCGTACATCCATAGCTGGTTCTTTAGGAACAAAAGTGATATTGGAGCCTCTACATAAAATGTTCAATTGCTGTTTTGACACTGAATATGTCAATTCTTCTTTACAAAGACACTCAGTATTCATTATTTACATCATACAAAAATATTATAAGCATTATTGTACAAGGGGAAAAAATTATTAATATAATATTTATACATATCAGATAAACTACCATGTGCAATAAAAATCAAAATCAAATAGATATATACATTCTCTTGCGAGATCCTTAGCCGAACCAATGATTACCCATACATTCTCTAGTCCACTCTGTTTGACACAGCCAACACCAATGATAGCCACATCCCGCTCTTGTGCATACCATATGCATGCAACCTCCTGCAAATATGTTGTTTACAAATACTTGACAATTTATTATATTTTTTATATTTGTAAGGAAATCATACAATAAAATTATAGATCTCTCACAAAATAATTTTATATCATATATCTTCTATCATATATTATGTTCTTTTAATTTTTCCACCTAATTCATTTTCATGTATGTTCATATACATCAGCAAAATGTTAACTTTTATGAATCTTACCGTCTCGTTCAGTAGGAGTTCTGCATTTAGGACAAGGTTTTGTAGATATTTGTATCGTCTTTTTACTAGCGTCTTCCCATTTAGCCTAAAATATACGTGTGCTAAATAAATTTCGAAAAAAAAAGGAGAAAAGATTGTCTTGACAGATGTATTAAATTTAACTAACTTCGTTTGCTTTTATAGGATCTATTGAATAATTTCTAGTTGAAAAAACACTTGTAGATGCTTCTGACATTTGCGA